CCTAGTCACCAAAGAGCAGCATTTGGTATGGCATTGGGCTGCTTGCATATATTTATAGATGCCATTAGTTTCACCTCTTCCCAAATGAAATGAAAAAGAAGAGGACAATAAATGATATTTAGCACCTACTGAGCTCGGTAGGGGGATGACATATTTACAATAAACACTGCTTTTCTTGTTCGTCTTCTTTCTTACACAAAGAAAAAGTCAGCTGTAGTATGGTTATTGGCATTGGTCATTGAAGGGTTAGACGCTCATCGAGTGGCTCTTTTACAGCTATTTGAATCAATAACTATGGACTTTTTACAGAGCTGTAGTAAATGGTTGGGGATTATTTGCATATGACTGTCTGCAGTTTAAAAGTCTTGCTGGTAAAGCTACCCTTGTGCTGTTGGCTGCTGTCTACATGACAAAAGGGATGGAAGACCCATTTTCTTAAGTGAGCAGTGTTACTCTAGAAGAGAAAAAACGCGTGTTAACCAATTAAGTTGTTCAGTATAACTGCATTTGTACTAGAACGTCCAGCTGAAATGTATACGCTGCCCTCAGAAAAAGTTGCAGTCAGTATAGCAGGTATATCTATAGCAAAAATTTTTGTTGTGTGAGTAAATTCTGCAAAATCTTTTGCAAACTTAGTATTTAAGCATATTTCCTAAAACAGCTAGAATTCTTTGGGAAGGACAAGGGCTTGAGCATGCTTTTGCCAAAGGGAGCCAACAAATACATTCAGATAGTTCTGATTATACAACTTTTATAATATAAGAAAGGGATACTACTTTTTGTTTGTTGCAGAGCTGGTAGTCACTAAACCTGAAGTCATTAACTGCCTGCGACTCCCCCACTCATCATTTGATTGTAGAAAGAGACAATTTTTCAAATCCTTAACAATTTTTTTAAATCTAGTAGGTGAAAATCATATATTTAAACCATGAATTAAAACTCTATAGGATACTCACTACATAAGGAATTATCATTGCAGTGTATTTCACAGAGGTGATGTGTGTAGGGCTGTATAAAATCAAAGTGTATGTATTTTTATGTACATACATATTTTTTCTCCACACAGGATCACAATACCATTTGGTGATGAGTCATCCAAACAAACAGCCAACGTTGTTATTTTTCAACCATTCAAAAATGTTGGAGTCAAAGGAAACAGGACAGGAATGGCAGGTACTGATAACAGGCTATGTATCAGTCTTAGAAAAGTATTGCCAGTCTAGACATAAATTATGCCAAAAATGCTAGGTGGTTTTATTATTATGTTATCAGCAATGCCAGTCTTGTGGCCTAACCTCCTCTGAGACCCTTCCTGGAAAACTTCTGTTATGGGCATTTTCTTCTTGTTGTTGTCCCCTTCCATTTCAACACTATGAGGCATATCACTCCATCCTTTGTGTCAGGACAAAGCCAAGGTGATATGCCTGATGACATTCTGAGCCAGGGTATAGACTTGCATAGAAGCTTCTTTGTTTCACAAAACAGAAAAACAGAGAAGTTCTAGTCCTGTGTGCCATCTTGTGATGTAGTCTTTATCATGCAGTCACCATGGACTAAGAAACAAACAGTCTTGGCTTTGAAATAAGATTAGATTGTTTGTGGTTGTTTGTGGTTGTGTCTGTCGTCTCACATCACAACTTCTGAAACTTAGAAGCCATCTTCAGAAACGTATATGGTATATTTTATATATATATATATACAATATATATATATTATTATATATTATATATATATTATATATACGGTATATTTCCTTTTTTTTTTTTAATTATACCCACTGAATAATGATGAAATATCACTTGTTACCAATTAATTTTTTTAAATAAGATGTTTAGTTTAAGATACCACTCTTACAAATTGATTCGTAAAATCACACCATTAGGCAAGCACAAAACTTGTTGTGAATTAAAGTCTACAAATTAACTCTCATTTTTTTTAGTCCTGTTTGGTCACAAATAATTAAAATAGTCTACAAATTATTCTGATTAAGTTCATGTATAGGCATTATCATTCCAGAACAAGCCAGCTTGTTTTTAACTAAAATGGAATGAGGCACTTCTCTCATCAGAATAGCCCCATATGGAATTAATCAGGAACGTTTCCATGTGTAGAGAAGCCTTAATTAACTTTGAATGAGTTTCATTTGCAATAACTTTGCTGCTGTATATCTGGCTCTAGATGTATGTATTGGGATGCTAAACTGCTTATAAATTGTGCACTAAGTCTTTGATAAAGTTTTTGCCAGAATGCGATAGTGATTTGTTTTTTCTTTTCAAAAATCTTATTATATATCGATGTGAAAAAAAATAGAACAAGAATCTATTCCAGTTTGCAGTCAGTATGTTATGCTGTCTATTTTTATGTTACCTGAGTGGCATTTTCTCTTTCTTGAGTACTTGCTTTTTGATTAAAAAAATTGCATAGCTTACCTGCTTTTATCTATTGGACTAAACTTTCATGCTGTCAGCTTTCACTGCCAGAATGATCAGAATTTTGTTTGTTGATATAAAAAAAGAAAAGATCTCAGCTACAAAACACTATTTTTCAACAGAGCCATCACCATTAGCTGTGCATTTTTGCCAGTGATGGACAGAAGCCTGCATGCCATGCTCGTAAAAAATCTCCACCAGTAGAGATGACCCGCTGTCACTGTGTCACCACTGCTGTAACACACTGTTCTCTGCTGCACTGAGCTCATGTCCACTGCTTGGTCTCCGGAAACATTCAGCAAAAATGTGACAAATGTCAGTGGGTGTAATCTTTTCTGCATGGAGGAATTTAATTCCACACCTTTGCTTCAGACACACCGTTTGTGAGACTGCCCTTCTGCGGCCATCTGTCACATCGCGATGAAATGTAACGGAATATTGGTGGGAAGGTTCAATCTCTACTGCCGTACCACCAATATCTGCCTTTGACATCATGGGCCAATGTAATAAAATAATAAATCACATTTGGAGCAGCCCTTACATATACATAAACATAATATTAAGGAAATTGGAGATTTTTTATGTGTTTGCTACTAAGAAATACAAAGTTGATACTTATTTCAGAATGAGCGTGCAAGATCCTGGAGCTAAGGCTTGCTATTCTAGATGCACTTCACTTTGCATTTCTGTTGAGTCTGAAAGTGGAAAGAAATGACTAAGCATAGCTTTTGATAAAAAATAACTTTGCATTTGATTCATTGCAAAGGAATTTTTGTTTTGTGTGTTGAACAGAAAAAATTCACGTGTGTAAGATTGTGCTGATACAAATGACATTCTTTGTACAAAATAGAGAATTTGAGAGAAAATAGTATAGCTGGCCAATTTAGAAGAAAAATGCAAGGGATGTATATGTACAGCAATGATGTTCTGGGTAAGCAGGAATGAAATTTGGATCCTGAAACACCAGTGTGGTTGTTAATCACACATTTTACAATTTTTCAGACCTTACAGCACTCTCTATCAAATTCTCAGATATTTGATCTATGAATGTGCTGAAAAAATTGTTTTTCCTTAAATTTATGCAAACTGTTGAAGTATGGACTCAATGTGTATGTAAAATTAAGTAGTAGAACCTTCTTCTCGTGGATTCCTAGGCGACAAAATTCTGCTAAGAATGACTGCTGAATACTGACTTCTTGCCATATGGATCGTTCTGTCGCTCTGATCCCTGTGTGTGACTGGGCCTTGGAGAAAAATCTTGATATCTTGCCAGTGATCTTGATTCATGTTGTTATAATACCAACATCTCAAGCATCAGAAAACATTGTTTGGGTTAGAAGTAATCACTATATAGCTTAAAAATCGGAAGCTTGGAAGAGAATCACATTTCAGGAGACTTTTATTGATCTTCTTTCTTTACATTCAATGCTTTGAATTTTTCATCTTCAAACATTTTTCAACAACCGAGAATTGGAACCAAAGTTTCTTCCAAAACCACATGTTCAAAATAGCATATTGGATCTTCAAAAGTAATTAATTCTTCAGCTACAACATTTTATAAAAATGTTTCAATATATATTTCTGGTCGGGTTTCAAGCTTCTTCTGTGCATATGCTTTAGATTTTGGAGGCCTAAATGCCTAATAATTGGACAGGAATGTGTTCCTTTTTTTAAAGAAATTTGCTATTCACATTATTCTGTTTGTTAAAATTTATGATAAAAATTACATCTGTTACTTTATTTAATTATGCATCTATTTAATTCCTGGCAATAGAACAAGGGAATCTGAAAATACCCATATCAAACCCATGTGAGGTGTAATTAGTTAGCTGCACCAAATAAAAATAAAATATGGAAGACAAAATTTTTCCTTTATATATAGTTAAAAATCAATTTCTGTTGCAGAAATTAGGATCTAAATATAGTTGTTACACAGACTGTGATGGTGAATGTTCTAGAGGTACCAAAAATCAAGGTATAAGTAGTTGTGCTTGAATTTAATATTCATGTCCAGAAAACGAACAAAAGTAGATGGTCAGTTCTAAGTGTTCTAAATCTGTGAGTTCTTAGTGCAGTCCTGCTTGGGGATATTACGTGACATTTGCAGTTATCATAGAACTGGGAGCTGTGACTACAAATAGTGGTATTACTCCATACTAGGTACTCTGAATGGTAGTATTTGTGCAGGCAATAGGAAGTTAGCTTGATACTTAATGTTTCCTTATTTCAATTTTAGAAAGTATGACGGGAGAATCTCTGACATTAGCTCAGCCTTCTTGCATTTACATGGCCAGAGGTTGGAAGTAACGTGGAGGTCAGCTGTGATAACATGGCAGTGATTAAATCTATTGGCAATGTGTCAGTTCTGTGATATGACACTGATAATAAGGAGGGGGGGTGGCATGATGTGCAACCCACTTAGCCAGTCATGGCTCATTCTTTGCTGTTGTATGGGAGCTGCTGAGTCACGGCCTGAACCTCTGATTGATCACCTGAGGCGAGCCAGAGTCAGCCAGAGGAGCACAGGTGAAGGCAATTCACTGTGCTGCTGGAAGGGGTGGAGCCTGGCTTCAGCCCTCCTAGACCTATTTAAGAGCTGGCTACCAGTGGGGAAGGATCTTGTTTGGAGATTCTCTCTTCTGGTGATTTTTGTGGGTGAACATATGGGTAAGTTCTCCATTTATTCTCTCTTGTTATTTTAGTCTACTTTGCCTATCTATCTTGTTCTTTTTTTGTGATTATAACGTCTTAATATCCATTGATTATACAGCTGTCTTCCTACCAACTCTATTTCCTAAAGACTGAGGCAGATGGCTGTTGGCCCCTTGGCTCTGCAAAGTGAGGGGATGGAGAGACAAAAATTAGGCTCACTTCTCACCTGGTATGGCTTTTCTTTTGAGTGATAGACAGAGTATCTCTGTGAGATGTAAGAATTTGGAAAAGAGTCTCAGCACAAAAGTAAGCGAAGTCGTTCTTCTGAAAAAAGTTGTACATGTCAAGAAATAGATCAGTAGTTTCATAACACCAATGTGCAGCCATCTCCATCCCAAGAAGAAATCTTCCTCAGTATATCCTGATTCTTGGCAAGATCTCAATGACGAGGAAGCAATAAATGGGAAAAAGCCCCTTATGCTTAGCCCTTGTTAAAAGCATTTATATTTTCCTAGCTCATATATATCCCTCATGGGAGAGATCATCTGTTGTACCACTTACTGGATTTTTATTTGCGCTGATATGGTGTTGTGTTCTCATTTAGTACCAGGGTATACATTGGCTAATTTATCTTTCTTATTTGGTCTCATGAAATTTAAGTGACTAGAAGTCACTAGATAGTTTTATGTGGGAGCTTGCCTACAGGGGAATGTTTTCTTCATGGTGATGTCAGTTACTTTACTTTGGAATGACCTAATTCCCTCAAGATTTATAGAATGATTCGGGAAGTACTGTTGATGAAGTATTTCAGTAAAAGTACTTTCAGGCTTTTGCTAGAGATCGTCAGGGGAGTTCTGAACTAAGATATTGTGCTGTGATCTTAGCCAAGATCTTGTGGCAGGTCAATAGTATGAAATGCCTAGGATTGGGAATGTTCAGTCTACTAATAATGTAGGAAACAGCAGAACTGGTAAGTATTTGTTTTTGAATATTATGAATAATCACTTTTCCTGCTTACAGCTATTGTTGAGTTACTTTCACAAAGTGCAACTTGACATAAGTAGATAAGTGAGTCAATAATCAAATTCCAATAAAAAATAAAAACTTGATTTGTCATGGTAAAAATAGGGACTATTGGCAGTTGTATGGGAGCTGCTGAGTCACGGCCTGAACCTCTGATTGATCACCTGAGGCGAGCCATGAGTCAGCCAGAGGAGCACAGGTGAAGGCAATTCACTGTGCTGCTGGAAGGGGTGGAGCCAGGCTGCACCCTCCTAGACCTATTTAAGAGCTGGCTACCAGTGGGGAAGGATCTCTTCTGGAGATCTGCTCTGCTGGAGTTTTGTGAGTGAGCCCGGGACAGGGGTAAGCTTTCTATTTGCTCTCTTTTGTTATCGTCGTCTGCTTTGCCTAACTCTCTTGTTTATTTCATAATTATAGCATCTTAATATTCACTGATATACAGCAGTCCAGTTGAAAGCTATCATGACAGCACAAATTTTATACTTCACTAACCTTAGTCCTCGTTCCTGGACTCGTAAGCCTGGTCCTCGTAAGCCTGGTTCCTTTTCCTACTGCAACACTACATTTGTCACACCTAATTTTAAAAAGTCACCACAGAAAGATGCCTTGCAAATCAAAAGCTAACCTGTACTTTAAATTCATGTCAAAGTATTATCACAGAAAATACTAAAATGTGAATCAAATGCATTGCTTACAGGGATCTTCCAACTATGAAAAGGCATGTTTTTAACGCTACAACATTTAAGGTGGTGTCTTCCTTTCACATGTGAGGCCTATGAAAAAAGATAGGGAGAAATGTGTAATCTTGATCACACTGACAAATTATTGCAGTTTCATTTCATTTTTCTTTATTTCACTTTCCCTCAGCTCCTAAGAAAATTAAAAGGTAATGCTGTGTGCAAAAACGTCTTAAAATCTCTCTGTCTGTTTTAATAGTCTAAGTCAGAGCTGCTTTATCTTTTATATTCAGAAGAAATACCTTTGACATTTTCAGTCCCTCACAGTGTCACGTGGACAACATCAAAGCATATTTTCCTGGACTTCTCTCAGTTCTCTTAGGAAGAACCTTCTCAACCTTCATTTGCATAGATCAGCATCGCATTTTGCAGTGTAGAAGTGTATGTGTATTTGTAGATGCTACCACTGTTCTCAAAATTAACGACTGCATTGCTTTAAAGCTCTGCAATCATTCTGTTGCACCTTTTCAAAAATGTGATTTCAGTTGTCCATGTAGTCTCTGAAAACTTTGACAAACAACTTTCTGCCATGATGCACAGTAGTTGGCAAATCATAAAGGCTGGACTACCTGTGGGCTTCCACAATTAGATAGGTATCTAAGAAATGGAGCAAGCAACAGGTATAGTACTAAATCTAAGCAGCCCTCCACTTTGACTGTTGAAAGATGTTGCAGAAACTGAACGATTTTATTTTTTTTAATTTTTTTGTGACTGTTCCAATGCTGTCACAGCTGTTCATGCCAAAATTTGGTGGTGTTTGCCCATAACAAAGTACTTGAAGGCAGTCAACCCACTCATACTGCACTGATGCAGAATGTTTCTAGGCAGCATTGTGGTTTAATTGCTGGCAGTGAATGCTCCAAAAAATAGAGTCTTTAGCAAATTCTGGAGTCACGTGAATGAAAATTGGCAGTCTATTTGCATGATTGTGCCTGAGGTAGCAAATAATCTTTGACGATGTTATGATGGGGCTGAAAAAAACTAAAGAAGTTCTCCTGAAGTCTACTTTGTAATTCAGATTTATTGTGGGTCTAGGAGGTTGCCAGTGATACAGTGAGTGCAACAGTTTAGTTTGCTGTCAACAATACAAGAAAAGTTTTGAAAATTGTAATAAAAATATAAATGGTGCCTTTTGATTTTGTAATTCTGTCCTGAAGTTTTATGAGGAGTGGCTGAGGGAGCTGGTATTGTTTAGTCTGGAAAAGAGGATGCTCAGGGGAAATGGTATTACTCTCTACAACTGCCTGAAAGGAGATTGTAGTGAGGTGGAGAATTGGCCTCTTCTCCTGGTTAACAGTGACAGGACGAGAGGTAATGGCCTTAAGTCGCACTATGGGAGGTCCAGGTTGGATATTTGGAAAAGTTACTTCTCAGGAAAAAGTGGTGAAGCATTGGAACAGGCTGCCCGGCGAGGTGGTGGAGTCACCGTCCTTGGAGGTGTTCAAGAAACATGTGGATGTGTTGCTCTGCGACGTGGTTTAGTTTGCATGGTGGTGTCATGCTGGTAGTTGGACAAGATGATCCTAGAGGTCTTTTCCAACCTTAATGATTCTATCATTATATTATTCATTCTTGAGATTTTCAAATTGGGTTAAGGACCATGTGTATACACAAGTAACAGAACAGAAAGAGAAAACAGTATGTTGTAGAGAAAGTGGTGTTTAGTGGAAGTGAGTTGAAGCATAATCATATGACATCTACTATGCCAATGAGATACTGTAATCGTTAAATTTATCCTTTTTTTCCCCCCAGTTATTATAAAGGATTTCTGCAAACTAATTATTCTGCTACACAGCATTTCTTGTCTTTGCATATCTCTATTTGTATGGTTTAAAAGTAAGCCATGTTCAAAATGTTAAATCCAGTCATCTATTGATGCTACTGAGAAAGGGGAAAAGAGCAGTGCATTGGAGAAGAATACAAGAGACAAAGCTGCAAGAAACAAAAAATGGATGCCTAGCAATGGAATGTGAGAGACTGTGCTGAGGAGGTGAACACGGCCTCATTTGGAATTGCTATTTTCAAATTAGAAAATATGAATGGAGTTACAGTAGTTAATGTGTGTCCAAGTATCTTCAGCAGGAAGAGTTACAGAAATAGGGACATTGTTACCAAAAAGGTACTGTAAAAGAACAGAAAAATCTGGAGAGGTATCATCTCTTTATCCCTATTAAGATTTGGTAGAACATACATATTTGAGAGAATATGCAGTTTTTTTTAAAAAGGAAAAAAATTGATCACTTTCAAAAGCATTGTGTGTTTGGCACTGTCTTGAATCCTGTCCCTTGTTGTTAAAACTTACATCAAAATTTATCTCAAAAAAAGAAATTTTGCTACCTTTGTAGAACTTGATACTGAAATTGTCAGAGAGCACATGAGGATAAACACAAACCAGTGGGTTGATTCTGGAGGGCCTTTCTTATGCTCCCAATTACTAAATCCAACAGTGCAGTGGGAGATCATTTCCAAAGGCTAAAAGCAAGGGTTGGGGAAGAGAACTGTAAGAGAAGACAAGACAATTTCTTTTCTGGAGACCTTCATTTAATCACATTATGAAATAATTTAGTATGAAAACATGGTTTCACACCTCCTATTGCACTACTCATTTAAGCTTGAATAGAGTTAAAGCAATTTGATGGCTGCCAAAAAGAGAGAAAATATGACCATATACTGGAACAACTTCAGTGCTCTTATCCAGACAACACTGTGAAGGCAAATAAAGTGAACATCTGTTATATTTAAAAAAAGAAAATTTCACACAAACTCGCACCATGTGCATGCATATACATAAGTGAACTTTAACTCATCTCACTGAAGTGAATTCACAAGGTATTTTAACCCTAATTCATTTCTAAATTAATTTTAAAAATTTAATTGCAACATTCAGAAAAGCATATGTAGACTTCCTTCATTTGAATATTTGAAGGTGTACAGAAGGAAAACATGGGTGAGAAGCACATTCATTGTCTTGTATTTTAAAACTCCTTGGACATCTACAATTTATGCAAAATACTTTATTTCACAGGAGTAAATGGGGTGCTTTTCATATAACCCTGAGTAAAACAACATGTAAGAAACTCTGAAAAAAAGATTATAGACTTCTGTGCTCTTTTACTTATTATTAAATAGTGTAAGGATGATTTTAAAAGTAGATTTGTCATTCACCAGAAAGGTATTTTTATGGCTGCACACTAGAGGTTTGATATTTTTTAGGAAATTCTACTATTGTGTTGTTTGCATGTCACTTTTAACACA